AACACTGTTCTTTGGTCTAAAGCTGGAAAATGTATCAGAGGTATTGAGACGTTTTTAGTGTGAGGTGGTTAACTTGGTTGGTTCAGCTTATACCAGTATTTAAATTAAATAGTGGATTTAAACCTTTTTACTGAGGGGACAACAGGAGATGGGAGAGAAGGGGAAATTACATCTGCTGCTCAGACAGAACAGACTTGCAGCTGAAGTGACAATAGCCTCCTTCCTGCCCTTATAAAAGGTTATCACAGGGGTATCAACAGTCCATAATTAATTACGGACATTAGATGTGCCTGTATCACTTAGTGTAAGAATTACTTTTGCCTTACATAAAAGTTACCCTAGAAGAAAAAATATCTGAACCCAAATTCTAGACACAGTGTTCCAGAGCTAAACTCTTTTCTGTACATTGATTTCATCTACGAATTAAAATTAATTTACTTTTGGAATAAATTCTTAATTCCCATTGTTCAAATAAAGCGAGGTACACAAAACTTAAATTTGGAAAACGTTTTTAACCTTATGAAACTATTTTAACAAAGACCAGCTTATATAAGCTTTTATCTGACCTCTACTTCTTAAATAAAAAAACATGTTTTCAGGGAAATGTGTCTTGGAAGTAACTCCCCCTCCCCCCTAGATTTTTCTCTCTGGTTCTTGTAAAACATTAGGTCAATGGGTTCATTTTATTTTTGTTTGTTTAAAGTGGGTGAAAGTTTCCTTCTCAAGCTATTATACTTCTGTGATTTTTAAAAAATATTAAAGCAATTTTTGTTTAAGAAATACAAGAACAGATGGAAATGTCAAAAGACTATCAACGTTCATACCAAAGGAAATAGCATTAATCACTGTAAAAAGCCAAAATAACTTCTCAATAGCAGTAAGAACCAAATGCATAAGAAATGTGTTGTTCCAATAGCACTGAGACATGACTGCTGATTTTTCTCACTGCCTGGCACATGAACTCATAGCTTATTTAACAACTGTGCCATTATATTTGTATATTTAAAATGCTGTTTCTCATACTGACTTCAAGCCTGTTCTTGTAGAGCTGTGGTAGTTCACCAACACTTCATATGCATCCATGTAACTTAACCAGCATTTCTTTGTGCAAATGGGAGTGAAGTGTTTCGGCTGTCCAAAGAAATGCATCTTTTATATGCGTTCACTTGTGCAGATGAGCACACACAGCTGGAGGGGAGCACACACAGCTGGAGGTAAGTATGACTGGCAGAAAAAGTATACCCGTAGTTTGCATTTCAAGTAATATTTATTTTGATTTATTCAGTATCTTGATGCTTTAAAAAAAGACACACACAGTACAAATTAGTTGTTAGAGCCTCTATGGATGTCTATATAAGCATAAAAGAAATTCTTAAAGTGCTTTTCAAGGTACTGTTTCTGTGCTCATCCAGGTGTGAGGGTGCCCTCCTGGACAGTACATTAAAGATAATAATTTAGCCAAATTTGTGGAGGAAAATGTACAACAAAAATAAGCTTCAGAGTTTTTGTTTAAAAATAATCCGTAATAATTTTTCAATCTGTGTCACTTTTACAAGATTTACAATTTTTCTTCAGTAACACACTTCCGAAAATATTTAGAAATATTTATCCATTTTACTTATATTGGACCTGTGCTTAAAGAGTCTTTTCTAGCTTAAGCGCTTTTTTAAGACTATAATTTTTCACCAACATAAATTTGTGGCAGAACATCCCTAGTATAATGTGAATATATTTGTATAACTCTGCTTGTAAAGATATTGCCTAGGTCTATTTCCTGTGCCAGCATAACCTGTACTGGTATAGCTTGGCAAAGGCATATGTACATAATTACATCCATATATGACAGCTCTGCCAGCACAGTCCTACACATACCAGCAAAAATTTAATCACTGCAGACAAAGTCTTACTTATGCTGAGCAAATCCCCACTATTACTGCAAAAGAAATAACACAGTGGATTCATAGTCTGCCAAAAGTAAGGAAAATCCGTCAGAAACCTTGTGGTCAGAACCACCTTTTCTCTTATTTCTCTTCTCTTATTTCTCTTACTTAGATTTAGGTCCTGCAAATAGGTCTGCATTTTCAGACAACCCCAACAGTGCAATTAGCCCTTTCTGCTGCTTAATACACAAGTATGTGGCATTTATAAAGTCTTGCTGTCTGTGATATGCCATAAGGAGAGAAGTCAGTGCTCCTAAAAATAATAATAATAATATATAATAATAATAAAAAGGAGGAAGGAAGCTCACTTCTGTTTGAAGAAATCTAAAATTATTCAAGAAGTTGAGAATAATCTTAACACAAATATAGGTGAATGGTACTTTATAGAAATCATGCACTGTACAACGATGTTTAAACGGGTAGCTCGTTTCTATTCCTAGGACAGTTTTCCAGAATTAATCTGGAAGTATATCATTTATATGCCATTCACTCAATTAACGTGGCCTTACATTTTGTCTTCTTTTCCCCCCCTAATTAATACCATCCTAACCATTTCAGCAAGTTTTTGATGTCGTGAAAGTGAAGCCAGTCTTACTGGGTAAAACACAAAGAAATCATCTGAGTAATTAAAAGAACAAGAAAAGGAGCCAGTTCTTTTTTACAGTTAGAGAGATCACCCTTTTTGGGATGAAGGCCCAGTCTCCCAGTCCCCACATCAGGCAATCCTCTCACTGTGCCTAGCAGATTAGGACAGTAGGTTCAAACACAGCATATTAAGCAAAGCAAAACTGTTTTCAAATAAGTAATTCTAATGGGACTCATCTGAGTAGTTCTACAGCCTTATTATGCGTGCATGACATGAGGTCTTCAGTTTACATCTGGAGCAACACTATAGCCATTATTAAGAATACAATTTATTTCCAGATTTTAGATAGGTAAAAAGTTGCATTCGTGCAGTGTATCATTACAAAAGAAACAAAATATTGCGTTACTCACCTATGGATGGTCCTCTTGGTTTACCCTTTCCCTGCACAACCCTTAGCATTTTTAATCAATGTGTACATAAATGAAAAGAAAAAAAGCAGATTATCATATTGTCCTTTGTAGTTCTCTTTCAAAATCTCTTGATGATAATCCACAAGGAAATAATAAATGGCTTCTATTGTGGAAAGGTATGTATCTGGCTTTCCCTTCTGATGACGCCAAAAGCAAGTTTTTCTTGTTTTCAACTCAATTTGTAGCAGCCCTGTCAAGAAAAAAAAAAAAACTGACGTAGATTAGATGACGCAAATTGGATAGGGCACCAAACAAGTATGTGGTTGTGTTCTGTATTTGGCTTTGCTGATAGCCTGCTAGAAACCTGCATGCAAATCATTTCTCTCTATATTTATCTGTTTTTCATCTGTAAAATGGGGGCAATATTATTATATTCCTTTATAGATCACATTGAAATTTGATGACAAAGTGCTGTAAGGAGCTAGATTTAAATCCCCAAACTTACATTTAAAATGTATAGGGTAACCTTTCATCCATGCAGCCTCACTCGACTGAGTGAACTGCAGTTTGGATGCAGGGTCTGATCACATGGCAAGAGTGAAATGCACACCTATTACTGAGGTGTTCACTATTCATAAAGTGATATATAAACTTCATATTTTGCAAGGTTAATACTTTTGAGTATGAAACAGAGTCCTTTAGACTGCCATAGCTTTTCCGAATTCTGATGAGGAGTATTTCTGTTTGCTAAGAGCTAGACACTTTTAATTTATGCTTGTTAAATAACTGTAATACTCTCACTTGGATTACTCGGAAGCAAGAATGACAGAATCTGGCCACTCATTTCATATTTACTTATTAGAAACTAAATTTTCTCAGCTTGAGATGAAAGCAAGATATTCATGGCATGTATGGATATGTATGGCATATGAGAATCTTCTATCTCCTATACTCTCTGCCTATAATTTCTTATTTATCAGGTGAATTTTAAATGTGTATCTTGATTTGGCGTTCCCTAAGATGCACAAAGGACTCAAAATAAAACACCTTAACAAGTAATTGCTTTGTAAACAGGAGTGGACAGTGCTATTATAAAGAATAGCATATACTACTATCAATAATAACAACAGGATCAGACCGTAAAGTTATCCTTTTTTTAAATGTTAAAATTAAGATACAAAATTTGCATGTTGGGATGGTTTAATATCAGTAATAACATTGTCTGAGAATTACCTAGAAGTTATAGACAGATAAGTTTGGACCCTTTTCAATTTGGCCCAAACTCAGGAGCGCAGACTGGTCCATAGCCCAGCACTTGAAATTCTATCCTTTTTACTTTCAAATTACATTTAACTTTGTAGTGTAATGGCAAGATGAACTTGGCCATTTCCTCTGCAGTTAATAACATATGACAACTTGCACAGTAAGAGAAATCTTCTATAGCATTTTTTTAAACTGAACAACAGGAGTTTCCATCACTAAATTTACATGCTATTGTTCGCACTTCAAAACTTAAAAATCAAAATAACATAGTCTATTGCCTCTAGTTATCCCATACTTAATGCAGTTTCTTATTACTATTTTAACTACATCAGTTTGTTTCCCACAGGAGGTTTCAATGCTTGCCTTTTCTTACTTTGAACAAGGGTAGCCTTAGATCCAGGAGAAAAAAACAAGAATGAGGTCTCAGCCCTAATGAAAGTGAAAAGTCTCATCAAATTCAATGACATTTCCACCTTAAAAGCAATGAACACAATTTAGGGGAAGATTCCTCCAATATAAATTCCCACCTATTCATGGTTTGAATATAAACATAAATTCACTAAATGCAAGATCACTGATGCTACTCAGCTTACCACAAAGGCAGGATCAGTTAATTTCCAACAGAGCCTGAGTTTTGGAACAAATACTTCATGAAGGATTAAGGGTTACAGTTTACTGAGCATATTTCCACCAACTTTGTACTGTATCTGTGCAGCCAAAGGCTATGTTTTATTACAAACATTGGCGGTTCTTATGAAAGCAACTTAAACTTTGAAGGAAATCAACATGTCGGGGGGGGGGGGGGGTTTTTTTTTTTTTTTTTAGCATCTAATACTTTGAGCTCATTAGAAATAAATGTTTGTATAAATCTAAGATCAACTAAGATGAAAATACAGCTACCTTTAAATCCACTTGGCTATTGAATGTAAACAAAATTTCCCCTTATAAAAGTTATCCTCCTGTATATATGCCTTCTGGCAGACAATAAGATTGTTACAGACATACAAACACCCTTCAGAGAGATCTCCCACCTTTCCTTCATCCTCCTTTTTTTTCATATGCTCCGTCTGATTATCACAAAATAATCCCTGTGCTACTTCATGACAATAATAGAATGCCCAAGCCTGCAAGATCATATTTTAATCATATTTAATCACTGATGTTACATCTAAGGGAAGCTCAGCTCCTTATCAACACAACATATGTACATTGTCCATTTTAAACGCATAATGAAGCCTTTTGTTTACTCTGGGCCTTCAATCCTCTCTTGGCCTTAACGAATATTCGTACAGTGGATTGAGAGATACACTAGTTCAAGAAATAACAGTGCGCTGAAAATTTTGCAATGAGTAATTATGGTTCCTAATGTGCTTATTCTTATTTTAATTATATTAGTAAATTTCCTACAAGAGGTCTAAGTACCAGCTTGAAACCGGTATTTCAGACAAGAATTCCACTCCTTTCCTAAACTTCTAAATTCTCAACTTTTGTGAGTAACTTAAGGTGAAGCAGAAGGGATTCACCTACCTTACATTTGCCTTGCCTTCATGCTGTAGCCCCCTGAATATATACCCAACTCACAGATATAGAAGACAGTGCATGCTGTTGTGAAAAGACTGTAGAAACTCATATCAGAGTTCTGACTTTTCTTTGCATTGCATGCTCAAAAGTTTGATTTTGAGGGAAGAACAGAGACAAAAATGTGAGAAGAGAGCAAGAGATTTATCAGAAAAAGACGCTGGAGGGAAGCTGGCCTCAGAGGACATCACCTTTCTGCTTTCAAATATCCTGGCTGTGTGTAGGCCTTAAGGGTTTAATTTTCTTGCAGAACTGAAGGCAAGCACAGAAACTTAAAAAAAACAAAGCAGATGTATTATACACCCTTGTACCAGAGACTCTATAAGCTGATATAAGACATTTGGCTAATACAAAATAGGCCAAATTTAGAGAAAAAAACACCAAAGCAATCTGTTTCTTTAACAACCATGTTGATGTTGCCAATATGCTTCATCACTCATATGAGAAAGTAATCGTTAATACTAAATATACCTATTTCCTTTCTCATCTAGTGATCGTTTCACTTCTAATGAAGTAATCAATCCTAAGCGTTACCAACTTTCAAATATTTCCTGTCTTTAATGCAACTGATTTGGTTTTGCTTCCCAAAGATATATTATGCCACTTTTCTAAGAAGATACAGAAGTGTTTTGTTTTGTCCAAGTTTTCTAGGTTGCCTGTTTTTAAGACTGATAGACGCAATTGCTTTCTCTTGCAGTGCAATTAGTTAGATTTACTCCATATATCAATCCAGGCGTACAAAACACAGGCTTTATTTTACATTTTCTTGGCTTACTTCATTAATGTTTCCATCCAGTATTTCTCGTAACTTCATGTCTTTGAACAAGCACTGCAGTAACTTCTTAATTAGAATTAAAAACATTCCTTTCTGAACTTTAATATCTCAGGAATATTATGTTGGATGATGACTTAATTTGTAGAACTGAAAAATGGTAACAGTCCTCTAGTTTTCATATGCATATGATGTGAACATTCCTTCAGTTTATGTCTGAGGAAACCTCATCCCCATCCATCTTGGAAAGTAAAACTGTTATCTCTAAAAGGAACATGAGTGCAACTTATGCCCTGTATTACAGGCGCTAAGGAAAGCAATAAATGTACTGGATTTAAACACTACATATACCTGCTGCATGGAGGGTAGAATTCTCTCTTGGGGCTGGATAAAAGAGAGACTGACTCACATGACACACCAGTCACACCTCTTATAGCACTTCTGAAAGGAGTGGAAGGTGCTCAGGGAAACAGAGGACTGGAATACAACTGGAACAGAGATGAAGTTCTAGAAATGACGGAAGGGTCCACTGGATCAGCAGTCACATAGCCAACTGGAAACCAGTGCATAAGAGCTACAAAGTAACAACAATCAGTAATATTTGGCTGATATACTGCATAAGCTTCCATGGAAACCTTCAGTTCCCTTGGTTGACTGTTAGAATTTTCTAGAAAAGTTCATCCTTTCTCCAAAGTTCTAAATACTTTGCAACATACAATAACTCTAATCTTTACAGTAATATACAACATGCAATAACTCTAATCTTTACCGTAATACTTCCATTTATTTGATAGAGTATGTTTTGTGTTAAACTAAATATTTGGTAACGGAATTTTAGTTAGCCGGTAAGTTACACTAACATGTGGGACTCTTTAATGAGCTGGCTAGGCAGCAAGGCAGCATTCATCTTCCATGTAAGAAGCCTGTGAAAGCCCTTGCAGGGGCCAGTGAAAAGCAGGCACTACTAAGCAGATATATACATTACATATAAACTTGATACTACCAGCTAAGTGTATCTTTTAAACTAATGGAAGTATTTCCTATCTCAAAAAAAAAAAAAGGAATGCCACTGCTAAATTGTTTTAAATTTTGTGGTTTTCTTCAGAATACTTAAATGTAACCTTCTTTAATGAACCTAAGACAAAAAACCTTTGCAAAATTCTAAATTTTTGCTTTCAGAGATTGGAGGGTGTTGGGGGCAGACAGGCGTTCATCTTTTGTCTGGATAACACCGACGTCATTGAAGTGACGATGAAACAAAGAACTTTACTAGAAAAAGGAACAAAACAACTTTGCCAGTGGCTTCTCTGCCGGGGAACACAAAACATACCCAGAAAGTTCTCCTGGCCTTTACTCACGAGGAAATGAAAAAACAAGTCCCAGTTACCTAAAAAGAAAATCGTTCTGGCTTCTTGCACAGGTCGTTCAAAGGACTACTGTTCTTCTGTGTTGTCTAACATGACAGCTTCCATTCTATGAGAGTCAGGAAATTTGTTCCAATAGACAAGTCGGGGAAAAGAAATGTAAATGCTTTCTTAGTAGTAGTCTTATCATTTTGCAAATAGAATTAGGTGATATGAAAACAAAAGGAGTCTTTGGCTCAGGAAGTCTTCTACAGCGCTGAAATATTGAATCCTTCATGTCTACTTAGATCTGTGGTTAGGTATGCACTTATAACATGCTCAGGTCTGTTATACGTATACATACATACATATATATTTCATTTAATCATTTTTCTTAGCAAAAACACCCCCCATTTCAACCTTTTTTTTTTTACCTTGAAGTCGTTCATCAGTTATTATTTTGTTAGTTTGATTCCAGGTACTATCAATAAATATTATTTTCTTCAGTCTAGTGCCTTCACTTCTGCTGCTGGAGATGCATTCATTTAGATTTTTTTCTTCTTCAGGTTCTATTTTTGCTTGCTTAGGAAATGGCTCTCTGGAACAGTCATGATCATTGTCACAAACATCTTTCTTAGCATATTTTTGGAGATGGAAAACAATATCTTTCACTGAAACTGAATTGGGGCCAGGAAAAATAAGTGCTATCTAAATGAAGAAAATAAAGAAATCAGAGTGTCATCAAAATCCGATATTCTTATAAAACACTAATAATTGTTTCATTAAAGAAAAAATAAAAATCTTTCTTATCCCCACCCACAATCATTTAAGTCAGTAGAAGAGAGCATCTCTTAAAAAAAAATTCTATTGTCTAAAACCATAAGGGCTTATATTAAAATAATGAATAAAGCCACTTAATATTTCATAAATGTCATTTCATGCCTCTACTACTGACACTAGTACTTCTGTAAAAAAAAAGCTTTTTTCATCCAAACATTGGTGTCAGCCAAGAGGAAGCTTGAATTTCACTTGTCACTGTGGTGTATGGGCTAGGAAGGCCATACACAATAATTTCTATCCTATTTTCATTCACAGCTTTTGGATCAGAAGAAATAATGTCTTCTGTCCTTCTGTCTACTGCAGCTCTCACAAATATGTTACATCAAAAAGACCAGTAATTGATTTTACTCATGATAGAGTATTTCTTCAGTAGCTTATTGTTGCATTCAGAATCTGTGACTTGGAAAACCTGGGCAAGATTAAGTCACTGCAACCTCTTCCCATTTTGCCCACCCTCCCCATTGTTCTTTCTGCTTTTTTCTGTACCTTCTATTCTTTCCTTGGCATTTCATTGTCTGAGGAAAATATTATCCCCATTTTCATGTAATCAGACAATGAAAGGGTTAATTATGACATCAGATGCGTTAATGTTAGGTTTCAGATTAATTATGCCATTCAAATCAGCATACAAATCTAAGTTTACATCTCACTTTTTTTTCAGGCTCTGTGCTGACTCAGCTAGACAACAGTTACATTTGGTGGGTTTCTCTGTAATAGTGAATGTTAAAAATTTTAAAATAAGTTTAAATCCTACAGAAGCTAAATACGATGAGCAAGACACCTAGCAATGTTTAACTTGTATTAAGTTGAGTATTTTCACAGGTTTGGGTAAAATAGTCTCCATCGTACACAATGAATCAAATTACCCATTATCTGATGGGCTGGACATGAGAAACTCAAAGTGGTTAGATGGTGGTACAGTATTTCCGAGCTTTGGTGGGCAGTCCATAACCGCATTTGTGGGCATGTGCTCTGAGAGAGCTCAAATGGATGGGTTGGATTAATATACTAGTGCTTTACTCCCTCCCTCTCCTAGTGCACTGCAGTACCAGCTGCAGGGGGGAGTACAGAAGATATCTCAGTATTTCCCCAGTACAGTATTTCCCCTGTTATCTACATAGTATTTCTTACTTCATGCCTTTTTTCTTCGTATTCTGGAATGCAAGGGTATTTATAAATTGTAACATCATCAGGTGCCAGGAGCTTAGCATGCACAGCAGTGCTTTTGCCATCAGTTTCATTTGGGTGTTTAATAATGTCAATCTTCAAAGGTAACTACAATAAGAAGGAGGAAAAAATAGAAATAAGCAAGATTTATGATCATATACATGTCTACATATAAAACATATACAAAATCCAGGAGAAATCCTTACAGGTATTTAATTAAGACATATCAGCTTCAAATAGTCTTACTGAACATTTTTGGTTTAATAGGTTTAGAAATAAACTAGAAACAAGTGACAAAAACCAACTCTCACTTTCTCTCTGTTCATGTAAATAGCTAAGTATACAAAGAATGCAATCTGGAATGGTGCATAGTAGTGTAGTAAAAACTCTAGTACTAGCATCCATCAGGTAAAGAAGACAGAGGTTTAAGTTTAGCAATATAATGGTCCCAAATATGCATATGCATCTGTATTAGATACTCACTGTATTGCAAAAATGGCCATTTTAATTAAAATATACCTCAAGCCAAGAGGTCAAACTTCCAAAGTACTTCTCAAGTACTTTCATAATGTCTTCAAAATGCATTTTTTGTTCCTAGGTGATTTTGGAAAATGTATCTCAGTCACCTTTTATGGTTTCTCCCAATGTTTTAGCTAAAGAACATAAGATTTTAAAAATCTTTATTTTTACTTTAAGAGTGGTTATCTGAATTAAACAACCTTTACATTTAGGAATGCCTTTTAGCTCACATTTTGTGTAAAATTCAGCCTTGGTTATGGACAGATGATACCATTTGTTCCCAATACACTCTGTTCCGGCCAGAGTTCTTACAAACTGAAGAATAAAGGTAAGAACAGCTTAAAGAAGCTTTTAAAAACTAAGCGAAAACAGTCATTTGCATGAGAAGCTGAGTGGCTTCAGCTTATCCTTTTCATCTAGTACATACATAAATGTTTATGGGGACTGGAACACTGTCAGTGCTTGTACATGTAATTCTTTAAATATGAACAGTAATTTTATCTAACTGTAGTTTATTCACACATGATGGCTTCTGTGTTGAAGACGGATGAACGCTCATAAAAAAAAGATTCAGAAATGAAATGTTCACACACGCTGGTTGTGAAACAGGTGCAAGAAAATTACGAAAATATAAAAATACATAAGAGATATTAACCTTCACAACTGGAATTTCTTTGGTAGGGACAGTTTCAACAGGAACAAAGCATGTATAACAGTAAAACATCCTTGAACTACTGCATCGCGGGCATTTTGATCTCCCACTCTTTTTTGCCTTTTCAAGTACTTCCTGTGATGCTAATTGTAATTGTCGAAGTGGGTTATCTTGAAACGATGATGGAGTCTGCAATTCTGCACTTTCCAAACATTCAGTATTTCTTCTCAGTCCTTGAGAGTTTTCTTCATTTAAAAGTGTAGATGAGTGTAAAGACATAGTTAACTGAAACAGACAATACATTGCACATGATAAATAAAAATCTGATATATGATAAGCTAATTTACTGAAAATTCTATATGCTCTTATTTAGCAAAAAAATACTCTCCCTATGCTGAATCAGATGATTTTATTCTTTCATTTATTACAGCACCAAGAACTCCAAACAGATTTCCACCAGCATGATATAAACAGGTACAAAGAACTTGAGATCTGTATTCTTAATGCATGTATATAAACATTCATCTTTTTATCAAGATAAACTATTCCATTCACCTCACTTATGTAACAGAATTATAAATTTTTAGGATCAGTTTCTTTTTTGTTTGCTGTTCCTTTGTCTGCTGTTTGTTGCAGCAAATACACTGGTAGACATTGCTATATGCATGAGCCGTCCCACTAGTCTTCACCAGGACTACTGAAAATGAATTAAATGCCTGCAGGACAGAAGTCCATAATAAGAGTAACGCTAACTGTACAGTTTTAGATCTCCATCCTGAAATTTATTGTGTGTGGGCAGACCAAACTACCTGAATAAAATCTCTGTTGACACCGCTTTGTGGGATGAAAGAAATATTTCAGGAACAAGGCTTGAGACTGAAAAATTAAGCTAAGATCTGGCTTTGGGGCTCCATACACCAGATAGTAAATACTGATCCAGTCTAGACTCACTCTGCAGGTTCATATTTATTTAAAAAATACTGATAGATTAACATTTTTTTAAGGCTTTCTTCAGGAGGGACATTGTATGACCCTCTGCAGTTGACATGAAATTTCTACTGTGTGCTCTGAGTAATGTATCTGAGAAATGACCATAGGTACGCCCATACCTGATCCAGATGGAATTACCATTGTATGCAGAGATTCATGTTCCCAATCACAGCCTTAGTGAAACCCTTCTGACTAGATTAGTCAGGGGCCTCTCCAGCCTTCAGAGCAGCCCACAGTCAGGAGACTGAACAGCCTGCAGCAGTTATCAACTGCCTTTTGCACTGTGCTGCATCACTTAAAATGAAAAAAGCCATTCCTAGTATTTCCATTCAGTTAATTTAAGTTTACTTTTTCACGTAGCAGATCACATTTGTGAAATGATGTAATAAAACAGTCATGTTTAACAAAAACAAACAAATAATAATTCCTGAGATGTGATCCAAAGTGAAGTGTTTATATAAAGCCAAATGTAGTTTAATCAAAAAACAGCAAAAACAAAAGACTCTGTTAACTCTCCCATAAAAATATAAAATTAATTCCTGAAAAATTAGTTGCTATTTTCTGATAAAATACTTATGCTTGCTTTGATTACTCCCACTCCCAGGTTCTAACTCTTCAAGGGTCAGGAATCTCCCTTAAAATAAATACAAAATTCAGCAATATGCATACAAATTTTATAGTCCACTTGGCTTTCAAATATATCTGAGATAACGCAAAGGGAAAAATATACCCTATGTCTCAGTGAGAGCTTGTCATGCCTAGACTAACCTACAACTATCAAGATTCCTCCAGAAGCAGAGAGGGCAAGAGGCCCTGCAATTTGACATGCATTCCCAGCCTGCAAACTGATTCTTTTCAATATAATGTGTTCTGGCACTGCGGTGTTCAACTATGATGCCCTCAAAGCACTTTTATTATTGATGCTGACAAGAGATACGCTGCTCTAATGGCACCGGAAAACCCCTGTGGTCTCAAAATAACTTCACGAAGCAGGGTGAAAAGCATACATGTGTGCAGTAGGCTTTTCAAAAAAGAACTCTAACAACGTAAATAACAATTGCACCTACATAAAAGCTCCACTGCAGCGTACCCTCCACTCAAGGAGGGGAGACAAATTAGACGCCTCAGGCGACTCAGAATCTCAGTCGGGGCCCAGGACGCTCCCGTGAAGTTCGCCGAAGCGGCAGAAAGCGCGCCCG